ATTTTAAGATAAAAGAGAGGTAATCAACCGACGCTGATTAGAAGTCGTTTCTCAGACGTTTCTCGAAAGCTCTGAAAGTCAGTGCCTCTACCTACTTCTAAAAGTGGACATGAAATGAGTATTAAATAGAAGCAGTTTCTAAGGCTGCGTTCATACATTAATAGTTTTTTTTTGGTGGTATTTAATACAAGTAACTGTAAATTCCCTTTTTAATCAAAATATTCGAAATTACCACCAATAATACTGAATTTGCTCATCAAATAAATCAATTATACTATACTGATAGATTTTTAAAGCTTAACTGTTTTACTTAATGACTACCTTTTAACTAAAAGTAAATTTAATAATTCATAACCTAACCTATTTTGGAAATTTTGTGTGCAAATCAGTATTTTTGTTTTATGGTGAGTAATATGTAGTTAATTTGTAGAACAGTCATTTTTTTGATTTGCAGTAAATTATTAGTGGAGAAATTTGGTTTGCTTAAATTTCTAAATAGAGGTGCAGAAAAAAGGTCTCCTTTTTTTGAGGGGGTACAATCATCCAATTACTTCTCCCGCTTTGGTTGAGGGGGGACGGAGTGTTAGACGTACAGGTTGACTTTTAGGTAGAGTTACTAATCAAACATCCTTCTGTACCTATTTCCGTTCTTCGAGTCGATGCCCCGGCGACCCGTTAAGTCCTCTTTGGTCAGCTTGATTTTGTATTCATGTTTATACCTAAATAGTTACACACTAATATTCTATATCTGTTTGTTTGTATTTGTAATCTGATTTGTTCATTAAAGCCTTCATATTACCTCTATATGCTTGAACCTTAAGACCTCAGGATTGGAGTAAACCATGTAGTTTTTAACACCATTATTACCATTAGGTTAACCATAAAACGTAACAATAATTCAGAGGGTGCTGTAATTTTTTAAACGGTTTTTCCTAGCATAAATGGCATTACTTGGTTACTTGATTACAAAGAGTTGTTATAATAATAACTTTGTAAGTTCTTTCTATATCTGTAATTCTGTATACTCCCTTAACATTCTGTAGAAGACTTGTAAGGTAAACGATTGTGAGTTTATTGCCCTGTCGTCTGGGCTTTGAACACTGTATTGCCGAAAATAACAATTTCTGCTTAAATGTTAAGCTATTTAGATCCCTTTTAAGTTGGCAATTGACGCATCAATTAATAGATCAAATATTAGAAATCAGTTTAAGAATGTAATTAAAACGAGACCTTTTTGGTTTCAACGTTTCGTTTTAAAATGTAGAAATATTAATTTTATTGAAGAGATTTGCTTTGTACATAATTATCTTGCCGTTGAACAGACAAATCATCATCGTCATACGCCATGACATTATTGACAACATGATCAGTGATTACCATCATCTTTAAATGGTGAACCCTATGTCCTTTTGTACAGGGTTCAATATGCAACGTAACTTAATCTATAAGTTTTATTTTTTATTATACCTTTTCTTGTGTTTTATTGTGTCGTGGTGGCCGGAGTTTTAAGACACCCACTTCTAATGCATGAGAGTGTGGGCTCGAAACCTACCAACGGCAAGTACCAATGTGACTTTCCGAGTTATATGTACTTTCTTAGGTTATTCAGACACCACTGACAAACGGTGAAGGAAAACATCGTGAGGAAACCTAGGCTTATAATTTATGATTATAAGTTTGAAATCACCAACTAGCATTGAGCAAGCATGGTGATTAATACTCAAACCTTCTCCATGTGAGAAGAGGCTTTGCTCAGCAGTGGGCATTTATAGGCTGTTGATGATGATGATGATGACCTACCTTTTCTGCTATCACAGTTGAACTCATGCATATCACAAGTATCGATGAACGTTCTCATCTCCCCGCAAGAGTCGATGCCACATATCGGCACCTGATCGTGTCGGCAGATATCTGCTATCTTGCATTCTTCTTCCAACTGGAATAATATGATATTAATTTTAAATTACACACACAGTGAAACGTGGAGTTTGCGCAAACTCTTTGAAGTGTAAAGGTATATTCAGTCCAGTTGTGGGTTGACTGTCGAATCACCTGATGGTAAGCAATCGGCATCGCCCATGGACACGTGGAACACCAGAGGTGTTACAAGTGCGTTATCGGCCTTTTGGGGATTAGGAGTTTGAGGTTTATTTATTGGGGATTCAGGGATTGGGGAGATTGGTGGATGGGGGAGGGGAATTAGGCTTCCAGTTGTCAATCAGTCATACAACATGGAAAGACTCATTTCTATATTGAATCATCTTCAACGCCTTTTTCATTTTCTTGGTAAGTTTGGTACAAGGTGCTCTTATAATTCATAACCTCTACTATAATAAGATAATAATAAAATTAACATCTCACCTTAGCCCCATCAACATGACCACAAACACAGTCCACAACACTAAGAACAAAAATACAAAGAATAAAAATCTTTTGGAACATTCTAGAACAAAAAGGTTCTAATGAAAACCCATTTTTTCACATTCTCCAAATTCTTTTACCAGTTTCAAATGAAATTCTTTTTTTAATATTAAAGTGGTGAATATTTTATGGAACCGTAGAAAAAGCAATAAAACGCTTTGTAAACTTTATAGTCAGTTTGTTCAATTGAAATTATTTGATGTGAGACCCAGAGTAGAGAAAAGATAGTTTATTTCGCTATAAATTCACGTTTTCTTTTATTGAATACGAAGTTTTATTTCCCTTCTGAATTGAACGTTAAAATGTTCACTTTTGACATTTTTCCCAAAATACGTATACCTAAATGAAAAATCTCGCACACGTGTTTGATAACTATATGTTAAAATTTTCAAAACTTGTGATGAAAAACAATAGCTGCAATGATCGCCTTATTTATTGATTCAAACACGAATCTAAAATCAAATCAAAATCTATTCACAGTCATTCCAAATATTAAAAAATTCCAATTATTTCGAAGAAGGTGTTTTTCCATATAGGTTAAAACAGTCTATAATCAAACCACTATTCAAAAAAGGGAACTGTACTGATGTAGGCAACTATAGACCCATTACACTGATCCCAATCTTTTCAAAAATATTTGAGAAGGCAATGCATGACAAGATAAATAGCTTTGTGACTAAATTTAATTTAATTGTTGAGAATCAGTTTGGTTTTAGGAAAAATAGCTCAACCACCCTAGCTTGTTTTTATTTAGTGAAACAAATTACTGAAGCTCTTAATAGTAAACAGTCTACTTTGTCTATATTCTTAGATATGAGCAAAGCCTTTGATTTTGTACCACACGAGCGGTTACTTTGCAAACTGGAGAGGTATGGCATAAGGGGTAAGGCGCATGATTGGCTTAAAAGTTATTTATCTAATCGCCAACAAAGAACTGTCATCTCTAGGATAGAAAATAATACTAAAATGACATATAGTTCAGAACTAAAAGTTAATAATTTCGGAATACCGCAGGGTAGCGTACTAGGTCCGCCATTATTTATACTATTTATTAATGATCTTAAGAAATGCTTGAAATGTGGCTGCACCCAATTTGCCGATGATTCTACTCTGACAATAAAATGTTCTAATAAAAATGACATAGAAATTGATGCTAATAATGAATTAATCAACGTGATAAAGTGGCTATCGGATAATAATCCATAAGTTAATATTGAAAAAACTAAAATAATTCAATTTCAAACATGTAACTGGTCAATAATCCCGACGGCAATTAAATATAATAAAGCTATTCTTCAACCAGTACCATCAACTTTGTTTTTAGGAATAGTTATTGACGATAAATTGAACTGGAAAGAACATGTGGAAAGGGTATGCGGTAAGCTTGATAGGTTTGTTTATGCTATCCGGAAGTTAAGACTAGTATCCAGTAAACAAACAGTTCTAAGCGCTTATCATGGTTATGTTTCATCGGTATTGAGATACGGCCTAGTTATATGGGGTAATTCAGTGGATATAGAAAGAGCATTCTTAGTACAAAAAAAAACTATCAGAGCCATGAGTGGAGCAGATTATTTGGATCATTGTAAGCCTTTATTTAAAAAATTTAAGATTCTTCCACTCCCTTGTTTATATATTTTTGAGGTTTGTCTATTTGTTAGGAGACATCCGCATTTATTTATATTGGATGAACAAATCTCTGAGAGACTGAAAAAAATACATGCCGGTAAATTACTAGTACCTTCTCAAAGATTGCAACTGTATAGTAGAAATGCCAGTTGCATGACAATAAAAAATTATAATAAACTACCACCTGCATTGAAAAATTTACCAATTAATAAATTCAAATGTAAAATGTTTACTTGGCTCCTGGACATGTGTTTTTACTCCGTTAACGAATTTTTAAATCATCCTTTTTGACCTTGTAATTAATATTTGATGCTATTAGAATATTGACATTATGATTAATATATATTTTTATTAATAATATATTTTTTTTTAATTTGGAACCAGTAACTATGACATGTATTTTCTTTTTTTTGTTGTTTTTGTTTGGTAATTATATTTTGACATAACAATTTGGACGAAAAATGTATTATTGTTTTTTTTTTTAATGAATAAATTGTATCAAATGAAGATTATTGTAATGTCTAAAATTTGCATGGACTTAGCTTATTTAATATTTCTACACCAGAAATGGTAGTATATGTGTTTCTATGTTTAATGTAAGATCTCAGTGTACCATGTACTTAGAAATAAATACATCTTTATCTTTATCTTTATCTTTAAAAAAGTAGTTTTTTTAGCCTTAGCGACTTAGATTTGAAGTCCTCTTTCTATGATTCTCATTATGTCAACATTTCAACTGGTTTTAAACGCATATAGGTTCTTGGTTTATCATTAAAACATAATATTTTCGTATTACATCAAACAGGGTTCCCTCGATTATTTTGTGACTAAACCAAAACATTAAATGATTAGTCTACGATCTAAGAAATGAAACAAACAATACAGTTACATTTTATTCACTAATCACTATATACGTAATATTAACTCCAATCCCAAACCTAGGTCTAGTGCTACGTCTGAGCTAGATTTACAGTCCTAGTTTTGGTGTTTTTGCTGCAGTCATTGAATTCTGCCCTCTTGAAGGAACGACCTCGCTTACAGGTCACCCAGCACTCGTGTATCGGTCTCTGTTTGAAATCTACGAAAAGAAAAATATATATAAAACAAACGCGGTTTATTATTACACTTATAACTCGAGGACAGCTTAATCGATTTGGTTGTGAAATTGGTGGTAGCTTAAAACCAGGGTGCTTACTCTTATAACCAATCTCAATGTCAATGCAATTTCAATCCAATACAATCTCAATAATTGTTCAATGTCAAAACTATACAACCCCTATCGTAACTGTTACAATAGCATTCAGAGTACGGAATATAAACCTAAACTCAATACCATTTAGTTCATTCAATATCCACACAATACGGATGTAATGAGCGCGAGTGTTGCAATTTAAGAGTACAAAATTTCACAATACCAATGTCGATCGATCGGAATTTGATTCAAGAGTAAGCCCCCAGGAGATGGACATAGAATAATATTTTATTCAAAGAATTTTCAAAAATTTAAAATATCGGAAGGCCGCTTGCAGAGTCGCAAGCAGAAGCTAAGTTACTAATAAAGTAAATGTAAAAATTTATAAGGATTTAAGGAGACCTGGTAACGCCATAAATTGTCTCCGGGTACAGATTCGAAACATTTCTATGTATTTTTATTTCAATTTGACTGCACGGTTGGTGCGGTGGCTGGGCAACCGGCTGCCGTGCAACGTGTCGCGGGTTCGATTCCCACACGTAACTACACTTTGTGAGATCCACAAATTGTTGTTTCGGGTCTGGGTGTCATTGTGTATGTAAACTTGTATGTTTGTAAACGCACCCACGACACAGGAGAAAATCCTAATGTAGGCCAACGTTTAAAAAAAAGATAATGTTGCTGTATAAATAGGAACTCTTGTTTATTACCTTTCTTGCTGTCACAGTTGAACTCATGCATGTCACAAATGTCTATAAAAGTTCTCATTTCGCCACAAGAGTCGATCGCACACATTGGCACCTTGTCGTGCACACATAGGTCGGCTATTTTGCACTCGTCTTCGCTCTAACGTACAAAAAAGAAAAGCTGTTATAATTTTAATCAGTTTCCTAAGCTAGACACGTAAATACAACATAATTAGTTTACTTCTCGTAAAATTTATACAACACTAGCTTTTGTTAGCGAATTCGCCTGCGGTTCCGTGGGACATATTTATTTAAATTGTACCCTGTATGTTATTGCAGACTTCTACCCCCTGTTCATTTCATCCCGATACCTCCAGCTGTTTTACCGTGTTTCAGTAACAAACAAACACATAAACACACAAAGTCACAACATTTTTAAATTTTTAATATTAGTATCTAAGAAAGACTGAGAAAAATAAAAAATGTGTACCGTACCGACACCTAAAAATAGGAAAATGGATTAGATTATAAAAGGTTTGTAAGAAATTGTGGGTTGACATTTGGTATAAAATGGCTAACACAAGTCCATATGTTGGCTGCAGAAGATTTTTTTTTAAGGGGGGAAAATCATTTTAGGTGTGCTCCCGCCTGGGTGAGGCAGGAGGGAGTGTCAGACTCTTACTAACTAAAAACTACCCCGTTCCTTCTCCTGCACGTCAAGCCGGAGCCCCGGTTACCCGTTAGGTGGCCGCAGAAGACTAAGGGCCGATTTTTCAATCCTCAGTTAATTCTTAACGGTAGAATAAAATAAATTTTTAGTATGGAAGAATTGTCAAGTATTCAAAGTTATTCCTTTGTTAAAATTTATCTGGCGTTGGGAAAATCGGCCTTTAACGGGTTGCTGGGTTTCGGCTTAAAGAAGGAGTAAGTACGAGGTGGTTTTCAGTCAGTAGAAGTCTGACACTGCCTCCTTCCTCACCCAAGGCGGAAACAGTAATTGGATATTGTTCCCCCTCAAAAATAAGTCTCCGGAAGAATATTTATCCAGCTGAATAAGTGTCATGGAACAAGTCGACAGGTTCACCAGCAAATACACCTAGGGAGTTTACAAGATATACTTAATCAAATAAAATATTTTCTAAATACTTTCATCAAATGAATAATAACTTTTTTTAAGGGGGAAAATCATCATATGACTTCTCCCGCCTGGGTAAGGCGGAAAGGAGTGTCAGACTCTTACTGACTAAAAACCACCCTGTTCTTTCTCCTGCACTTCGAGCTGGAGCCCCGGTAACCCGTTAGGTTCTCCGCGACGAATAATTTGCTATTTCTAATAATTTTCTATTTTCTTTGGTATTTCTCAATAGATTTTACATTTAAGTGTTCTTTAATCGAATTTTTAGATCAAATTTTGTCTTTTACATTAGATTGTTTTACTATATGAGATTTGCTATAATTTTGCAACTTCAAACAAGATCTTCAGGCATCGTTTACCTCACACACTATAAACCCGGCTCAGTGTTTAAATATGAATGAAATAACGGTGAGCGACGTGTCAGTACTAAATATGTAAACAGGGAACACGTTATATATTCACACTATCTCTTATTACACTACGATATCCGTTTGATACTATAAGCAAAGTTTTCGAATTCATTTTATACCTATGAAGCTGATAAAATAAGAATATTGTGTTTGCTTTGGTTTCTAGTCGTAGAACTAGTCTTATTTTCCGGGAGACATTACTCGTTGTTTGCCGAGTAATGGCAGAGTATAAGGGCTATGTTTCATCGGGACATTATGGTAGTGCAACAAGCCACTGCTACTAACAAAATGTATACAGCTCTATAGAGACTTACTCTCCTGGTGTCTGCTAAGTTACGCAACCAGTTAATACATTTTGTTGGTGGAATATATAGCCTTTTTTTGTTGGTAGATAATCATCTAATGACTTTTCCCGCCCGGGTGAGGCTAGAGGGTGTCAGACTCTTACTGACTAAAAACCACACCGTTCCTACTCCTGTACTTCGAGCTGGAGCCCCGGCAACCCGTTAAGTCTTCCGTGGCTCCGTGTGGAATATAACCCTAACGGTACAATAGGGTAGATGACTAATTTTTATTTTAATATCCGTATGGTAGATTATTTAAAATCATTAGACACGTATTTTGTATTTTCTTACGGACACAGATACTTTCAACAATATATTTATTTGAAATATCGCGTGACGTCATTTTTGTGTACGTTTTATACTCAAAAGTGACGTAGTTAGCTCCAAACCCTAAACTTTGATTCGTTTTATTTAAGTATTGTTTTATCATCATCATCAATCATCATCAACAGCCGGAAGACGTCCACTGCTGGACAAAGGCCTCCCCCTTAGCCCTCCACGTCGAACGACAACTCGCCACCCGCATCCACTGGCTCCCCGCAACTCTGGCGATGTCGTCGGTCCACCTAGCGGGAGGCCTGCCCACGCTTCGTCTTCCGGTCCGTGGTCTCCACTCAAGGACTTTCCTGGCCCATCTGCCGTCAGTCCTTCGAGCGACGTGGCCTGCCCATTGCCACTTCAGTCTGCAGATTTTGCGAGCTATGTCGGTAACTCTTGTTCTTTGGCGAATCTCCATATTTCGGACTTTGTCGCGCAAAGAAACCCCGAGCATAGCTCTCTCCATCGCACGCTGAGCGACTTTGAGCTTCTCCAGAAGGCCAGAGGTCAGGGACCACGTCTCGGTACCATACGTCATCACCGGCAACACACACTGGTTGAACATCCTGGTCTTTAGGCACTGAGGGATTTTCGATGAGAAGATTTCGCGTAACTTCCCGAACGCTGCCCATCCAAGTTGGATTCTTCGGGCGACCTCTTTGTCGAAGTTGGACCTACCTAGCTGTATAATCTGCCCTAAGTATGTGTAGTGGTCTACAACTTCGAGGATATCGTTCCCAACGATGACCGGTACAGGTGCAACATGGACGTTTGACATGATTTTGGTCTTGTCCATGTTCATTTTAAGACCCACCTGTTGGGAGACGATATCGAGGTCGCTGAGCATGGTGTTTAAATCCTCCAGCGACTCCGCCATGATGACTACATCATCGGCGAAGCGGAGGTGTGTGATGTATTCGCCATTGATATTGATGCCCAGTCCACTCCAGTTTAAAAGCTTGAAAACGTCCTCCAATGCGTTGGTGAACAGTTTCGGAGAAATCACGTCTCCCTGTCTCACGCCTTTCTGCAATTGGATTGGTTCCGTGCTATCTTCCTGGAGTCGGATGCGCATGGTGGCGTTTCTATACAAACACTTTAGCACCTCGATATATCTGTAGTCGATATGGCATCGCTGGAGAGACTGCAGCACCGCCCAAGTCTCGATCGAATCAAAGGCTTTTTCATAGTCCACAAACGCCAAGCATAGTGGCAAGTTATACTCCTCAGTCTTCTGTATAACTTGCCGCAGCGTATGAATGTGGTCTATGGTGCTAAAGCCTTTCCGGAACCCGGCTTGTTCGGGAGGCTGGAAGTCATCAAACCTGCGTTCGAGACGGTTCGTGATGACCCTAGAAAACAGCTTGTATACATGGCTCAGAAGCGAGATGGGTCTATAGTTCTTCAACAAAGAGTTGTCACCCTTCTTGAAGAACAGAACCACTACACTCCTTTGCCATGCTTTCGGCGTAGTTCCTTCGAGAATGACGGAATTGAACAGTTTCTGGAGGACTAAAAGTATCGGTTTTCCACCCGCTCGCAGAAGTTCTGTTGTGATTCCGTCATCACCCGGTGCCTTGTTATTTTTGAGCTGTCTGAGAGCCATCCTAATCTCATACAGGCTGATGTCTGGGATATCCTCGGTATAGTGCCGTGTCAGTTTAGCTCTTGGATCCCGAGCTGTACCGACAATGGGTTGCCGTGTCGAGGTGTATAACTGTCCGTAGAACCTTTCAAGCTCTCTCAGAATCTCTGGCTTCGACGAAACGATGCTGCCATTTTCGGTCTTCAGTTTCGTCATTTGGCTTTGCCCAACAGACGAATTCCTTGCGAATACTTTTGCGCCCTGATTTCGCTCTATGGCATCCCTGACTCGTGCGGCGTTATATGCACGCAGGTCGCGTCGCATAGACTTTGAAATTCGCCTATTAAGTTTGCCATATCCAGACATGTCAACTGAAGACTGCAGCCTCATCTCGTGTCGGTCTTTCAATAATTTAAGTGTTTCTTTCGAGAGCTTTTGAGGTCTATTTCGGCGTGGGTTTTTGAAAAACTCCGAGCCCACCGCTTGGACAGTTTCCACTAACCCATTATTTAACTCGTCAATCGTTTCACACTCAGCCAGGCACTGGAAGCGATTTTGCAGTTGGAGCTGGAACTGTTCGGGGTTCTGGACCTGGGCGCGACCAGGACGGAGTGTGGACCTCACCAGGCGTGACCTCTCCAGCTTGACATTGATATTCAGTGTGCCTGTTTTATCATACGACAAAATAAAAAAAATCGTGTCTAATACTTTTTCATTACCTAACTGACGGAGTAATTAGATTTTTAATTTTCATACATTGTCATCATCCCTATTGTCATCACCTCGACCCTTCTCGCGGGTGTAATAAGTTGCTAATGAAACATATTTAACAGAGCAGGAGCTCACTCTAAGGTACTTGTGACCTCCGATATGCTTCTCAAGTGTGAAGCTTATTGAAAAACCCAATTACTCTCCTCTCCAATCTCCCAATCCCCGAATGCCCAAAAGGCCGGTAACGCACTTGTAACACCTCCACCTCTGGTGTTTCAGGTGTCCATAGACGGCGCCGATTGCTCCGTCTGCTCGGTTACCGGCTTATTCCATAAAAATCCCCTTATGTAGAATTCATGTATATTAACTTACTTTCGCTATTTCGCTGTGAGCATCTATCGATGATATTAAATATATCATAAGACCTGGAATCAATCAATGTTTCGATACAATTATCTAGTTAATATTAGGCCCATAGCACACGGCGTATTATTATACGCGCAGACAACGCGCGTCTTCGGCGCCGTAAACGCTGATTGCTGCTTTTGCATTGATAATACAAGCACGCGCATGAAGCGCGTATACGCACTGAGCGTATAAAAATACGCCGTGTGCTATGCGCCTTAGGTACGTCAATATAATACTCTTTTGTTGTCATGTAACAATAATTCAGACGGAAAGAGTTATAAACATGTAAAAAAGGAACTAAATTATATTATTAAGAGTGTTTGAGTCGCAAAAGACCTGGATCAATTAAAATATATGGTTTACTCACGTATGCGATTCGAGAGAGCTCGATTAGTTTCGAGGGACACCGGGATTCATAATGAGTTGTGCCTGGCGATTAATGTCACGTGCCCTACGATGAAATGACATCGTAAGTAAACCGTATATTTTAATTATTTTTGGAAACTTTACGTCAGTTTGTAAACAATAAAAACAGACTTCCCAGAAATATCAATTTTAACGATACTTACCTAAATATGCTATCATTGTTATGCATCATAATCTCTTCCTATACGAATACATTTTGAAGCTTCAAAATAAAAAATCAAGTAATTTTTCTTCACTATTTATTACATACACATAAAAAATATCGTAACTATTTTACTGTTTTTCATGTAATAACGGAAATTGTTAAGAAACTCGTGACTGATTGAAAATAAATGATATTTGCCATTAAGATAATAATTTACTAGCAATTGAATAAACAAGTATATAAAAAATAACACGGTTTCAGACTAATTATATTCTGAAAATTGAATTTTGAGGCTCGACATACGACGCGGCGACTGTCGCAGAATGCTGCTCATGAGAATATGACCCTCCAGCATGGCTTGAAACCAGTCGAGTTCCTTATCAAACAGTTACGTGAGTAACCGAAAACGTAACAATTAATTTAACATCTCTCACGAAAGTAATAAATAAAAATGTAAGTGTAGGAGAGCCATGCTTCGGCACGAATGGGCCGGCTCGCCGGAGTGATACCACGATCTCACAGAAAACTGACGTGAAACAACGCTTGAGTTGTGTATTGTCGTGTGAGTGAGGTTACCGGAGGCCCAATTACTCCGAAGTCTCCCCAATCCCCGAATCCTCAACAACCCTCAAACTCCCAGAAGGCCGGTAACGCACTTTGTGTTCCAGGTGTCCATGGGCGGCACCGATTGCTTACCATCAGGTGATCCGTCTGCTCGTTTACTGGCTTATTCCACAAAAAATATAATGAACAAGGTTTCAGACTCTGAATTGACATACCTATATACACACATAAATCTCTCTAGATTAAATGGTACATTTAAAAGCATAAACTAATGGTTATACGATTTAAGAAATAAATAAAATCGGGTAGTATTAGTCTACATGTCTGATTTTTAAATTATCCCAAGTTCATTTGTAATGTTCTTGGATCTGGACAGACACCTTCATCGTCTTTGACATGGCGGAAAACTGGGAAAGAAAGAGAAATATATGAAATCATATTGTACGACATAAAAATATGTTAAATAACATCAAGACTTCGAAAATTTTATTTAAAAATCCTTTGTTTTTGCCGAAATGTAGATGTGCTCCATCGTAGACCGCTTCATCGCTTACCACCAGGCGAGATAGTGGTCAAACTACAGCCCGTCAAATATATATATATATCTAAATGAGACAATGTATTTTCTATTTTGTGTTTCTTCTAGTGGCAGTCAAGAGGTTAAAGAATTGAAGATGACTTTATAGAAGTTCCCTAATTTAAAATCTTTATGATCCATTATTATATGGGATTCATAATGTAAAAGTTTATTGTTACATTGAACAAGTAGAAACTAATAACTTTACTAAAGTCTCCAAAGTCCACAAAAATCGTTTTCAAGTTTACCTAAGTATCTTCATATACCGAAGTATCTGTATTTATTTTTTCTTTTCTTTTTAATTTTGTATTATATTTGTAGATACTTGTGTGCATCCCTACTCTCGAACAAATGTTTTTTCTTTCTTTTTTTTCAATTCAAAGATTTTAGATGGAGTTTGGTTATTTGGTCGTGTACGTACCTACACATATTTCTACTTATGCCTGATTAATTACCGTTTTTCAAACTTCTCCTAAATTTTAAAGAGCCCATAAGTTAGGATAGTTTTAGTTTTCTCCAATGTATATTGTAAAGGACCCACACTTTATCGAAGGAATTAGACAGAGATTCCAACGTTATAATGGATTAAATTTAAGTCAAATGTTCGATAAGACGGTCAAAATAAGAATACCTCACATTAAAATTCACTTCAATTTAAAAAGTTAACAAATCATATCAGTTATCATATATTGTCATAATTAAATATTAATGTTTTACTTGAATTTATGTAAATATTATATTTATAGTTATATACTGAAAATCTAAAACACCGACATCTAGGCTAATTAACCTTACAATTAACGTTTACCGCTACGTCTTGCTTGAGCGATTTAGAAGCGAATACGATTTTAAAGCGGTAACACGCGAATTCAATGCGATGCGGTGCGAAGCGGCGGCATGTCCTACGTGCATGCGAATCGTTTCCCTACGAACATATTACATTAAACCGAACAAAAAACATGACAGTACCGCAACCAAATACGACAGTTCGCGCAAAAATATTAAATCAACTGATCACGTCCGCGTCCTACGTGCGTATTGTGACGTAGAACACTTCAATATGTTTCGCTTTGTTGTTTTCGCGCCGCGCCGCACCGCTCCGCGTTCTCTTCTAGATCGCCCACGCAGGACGTAGCATTACAATACAAGTAACGCTACGTTCTGCGTGAGCGATTTAGAAACGAACGCGGTTTATTTATTTATTTATGTACACACATTCAACACAGAGGACAATACATAATAAAAAAACAGAGTACATAGGCCCCACATATTCCAACTGGAATTTCTTCCTGTGGGCCTGTGGCAGGAAAAGAAATAACAACACTGAGACACATAGTGTGTTACACAAACAAGATAAAAATCAATTAATAAAAAAAAAGTAATAAGACCAAAGAAACCAATAGAAATAACAATAATAAACAATAAAACAAATTAATATAATACAATTATAACACACATATAAATAAATACAGAAAAACAAATCTATATTTCAAGAGGAAAGATAATGTTCTCTCACTTGTCTCTTAAAGATAGAGATAGACTTGGCGTCCCGAATGTTCGGCGGGAGCGAGTTCCATAGTCTCACTGCATGAACGGAGAAGGAGTAGGAGTAGAAGTCGGTATTATGGGGCACAATTTTAAGATAGGATTTAAGATGAGAACGAGTAAGGACCTCGGCGGTTATGAAGCGGTAACACGCGAATTCAATGCGATGCGGTGCGACGCGGCGGCTATGTCCTACGTGCATGCAAATCGTTTCACTTCGTTTTTGTTTCCACCATTATAACCAAACAAAAACATGCCAGTACCGCATCTATATATGAGAGTTCGCGCGAAAATATCAAGCCAACTGATCGGGTCCGCGTTATTTCTTGCCGCTCCGCACCGCATCCCCCGGGTGTATTGTCACGTAGGACACTTCAATTGGTTTCGACAGTTTGTTGTTTTCGCGCCGCACCGTACCACTCCGATGTCGCGGAGAACCTAACGGGTAACCGGGGCTCCGGCTCGACGTGCAGGAGAAAGAACGGGGTGGTTTTTAGTCAGTAAGAGTCTGACACTCCCTTCCGCCTCACCCAGGCGGGAGCAGTCATTCGATGATTTTCCCCCCTTAAAAAAAAAACCGTACCACTCCACATTCACTTCTAGATCGCTCACGTAGGACGTAGTATAAGGGGCTAGTTTAGAAGTTACGTCATGATAAGTACCTTTTAGTTATGAGATACATATAGTGAAAACGGCTACAAAAGACAGAAATTTAAGTTATACATACCCATATTGTATTCGCAGGAATATTCAAATAAATCGCATATGTCTAAAAATGTTCTCGCTTCGTTGACGGACTTGCCACATACGATGACCGTGTCGTGGAAACATATGTACGCATTCTCACAAGCTTTCTTCAATTCGGTCTGAAAATGTGGTAAAATTTTAAATAAAGTGCCCTGAATAATATTAAATAATAGTGGGTAATAAAAGTCTGTTAATCCCGAGGAGTGCTCTGGGTATTTTCGAGGCCCGAGTGGAAAGGTTGCATATGGACAGGCGTGCTCCATTTCAGGACGTATCATCGCTTACCACCAGTTGAGGTCGTGGTCAAATTAGTGTATTTAGTTACCCTTAAGTTATGTTTAAACCTCCATTTTATTTCGGTGTTTCTACTCAAAACATTCAGCTAGGCCTTAGAAAATATCGATCTTCTTTAGTATGATATATAATATTTTGTCTTATTTATTATGACTTACTTATAAAATAAAAAACATATAACATACTTACAAGGTGGCCTTTATCACTAATCACATGGGAATCAATGAACAATGGTGACAACACTAATAATAACAATAAGGTTCTAATTATTATTACAAACATTATAAAATAAACATTGACGGACTAAGTTGTTGACATCTAAGGAGAGTATGAAGCAGAGGAGACTTTGAATTGTTGATGGTAACGGATAGACAATGACAGGATGTTATTAGTATTGGAGAAGCTAATGTAAGCGTAAAGTTCTTGTAATTCTGATCATAACATTATTATGCTGTATGGTAAATGGTTACGAATAAATGAAGGAGTAAAGCGTTCATATGAGAGCCATGCTTCGGCATGAATGGTCCGGCTCGACTGCGGTAATCCATGGCACAACGCTTACGTTGTATTTTGTCATGTGGGTAAGGTAGCCGGACGGCCAATAGGTACTCCCCTCTTCATCCCCAAACCCCTAATGCTTAAAAGGTCGGCAACGTTCTTGCAACTCCTCGGATGGTGCGGGTGTCCACGTCAAATGCAACAATCAGGTATTCCGCCGGCTTGTTTGCCGCCTTATGTTGCAAAAAAATCATATGGGATATTCATGCTTCGGCCTAAATGGGCAGGCTCGAATGGTGGAGTACCAGTAGAGCCTGCCCATTTATACCCACGGCCTCAAAACCGGCGTGAAATAACTCTAAGCTTGCTTTGTGTTTCTACGTATAAGAGGCGTTATGATTTTAGTCACAAAGCCCACCTAGTGGGTGTTACAACCTCTTCAGGCATAAAATGTATTGTAAATAATTAAAATGTAATTGTTTGTGTAAAATATGTACATATTCAACCAGCAATAATATTGGCCTTTTATTTTGCTTTCTGTGTTTCTTTAATATAAAAATATTGTATTATAATAATAGCATTGCACATTACATGCATAATTTAATAATGCAACAGTTGCATCTAAAATACGTTGACATTAAACATTCAATATTTAAACTTAATGTCAAATTGTAATCTTCAAAATTGCTTAACTTATAATTTCGTAATAAATAGATATTATTTTCACAGAATTTGGATAGGTAGGTGGTTCATCGTGAATCTATTCTTTTTTTTCTGGAATAGGCCTGCAACCGGTTCCCTA